CTAATCAAAGCTTAAAACCTTCTAAGTTTTGAGCCAGAGCCAATATGGTCTCATGCGTTAAGGCCTACTGGGATGATCAAGAACCTTTTTTTTTTTTCACCATAGAAAATAAAAAGTTAGATGGCTTGTATTGTGAGTAAAACAAGGCATGAGGTGCTCTTTTTAGATAACAAATCTCCCTATGAGGGGCGTGAGCGTCACAAATCTCACTTGGCAGCAGCTAGCGTGCGTCGAAATGGTGGGATCCTCAAGAAAAAGAAGAGAAGCAAAGGTATGGCATAAATGCTGAGAAATAAGTGAAATTTAATTCAATCATGAGAGCAAAAAAGAATAGAAAACAAAACAAACAAAAAAATATAAACGCACAAAAAAAATTAAAAAAAAAATTTATACAAGTTCAACTAAACGATTGATATGTCATGTTGACACCACTGCAGATTTCAATATGATTTTGGCTTCATTTGGGATAGTTTTTTTATTGCTTTCGAAAATAACTTTTTAGTTACTAAAAAACTGTTTTAAAAAGCAACAAGAAAGCTGTCCCAAACAAAACCTTAGTCTTCATTTGGGACAGCTTCCTTACTCCTTTAAGAAGCAATAAAAAAGTCATATTCATTTGGGACAGCTTCCTTACTGTTTTAAGAATAGTAAAAAAGCGTCCCAAACTAAGCCTTTGAATACATTAACATGAATGTCAACTTATGATTAAGACTATCAAACATGTTTTCTTCGTTAAAAAAAAAAAAAAAGGTTCCACAACATTTCAATCAAACGCCTCTAGTAGTATGTTCAACAATTTCAAGAGAGGAATCAATCATATTTAGCAAATCGATGAGGCTGCAAGTTGAAATAATCTGAAATGGGCAGCACAACACAGTTATGTACTGGCAAAATTTAGTGCATTGTTTCAATGAGACAGTAAGACAAAAAAGCTTAACACAGTTGATAAAATCGATTCTTGCATTACTTCATCCAATGAAACTAACTAAAGTTAAAATTGATGAAGATTTACTGAGATAAAACACAAGGTACTGGAGATGGATGACATTATAAAAACAGAAAAGAAGTAATCAAACTTGGACAAAATCAGCAGTCAGAAGATGCATGAAACCTTTCTTAATTGGAAAGATTTTGGCTTTATTTGGGACGGCTTTCGTACTGCTTCGTGAAACAGATTTTCAGTACAAAAATTAAAACTTTTATATTAGAAAGCTCTTGTAAATAGTAGTAAGAAAGCCGTCCCAAACGAAGCCGTTATCTGTATGGAAATCCAATTCTACTATATGTTCTTAGATTGAGTCTGCAGATAGAATGCATGTATTAAACAGGACCACATTCAACTAGAAATTACCTTGGAATGATGAGAACTCTGACAACATTTTGAATGGAATAAATAATTAACAATATACAAAATTCAGCAAAAATCAACAAAAGAGGGCTAAGAAAAACAATTTTTAGCTCTAACTTTGACGTCCTACAACAAGTTATTCTCTCGAAAGAAATGTTGCCTTGTAAATCAATGAATAAAGCATTAACTATCCTATGTAGAGAAGTACCAAACAAAAGTCATGCACAAACCCTCTATTGATATAAATTTTACATTTCAAGTTGTCCATATTTGATTGATATGCTGAAGGGTTAGTCTCTGTTGCAATATCAGTACTGACAGTTGTATCAGTTCTATGATCCACTTTCAATCAAAAAAGGTCAAATCCATGGGTACAATATAACAATTATCATTCATAATTCTATGATTAAAAGATCAACACTAATGTTTTTTTTTTTTCCACAGCTATGCTAAAAGAGGTTCCACATGTGTTATTTCCACGCATCTTCAAGCTTAAGTGGTTTCTCTAAAGCCACCTCATTGGAATTGACACAAATGCTAACCATATTTTTTTATTCAGATCTAGCTATGTGATGTTGAGGCATCTTTTTCTTATAGTCTAATTACCACACAGTAAAGCCTTTTTCAGATTATATGTAAATCTAGCAATGGAGAAACTTCTTAACTATGATGGGTAGATATTTCTCTCAAAGAGATAACAGTGTCCGACATGTATCAGCACAATACTTATTCAACATGCCTTTGACACATCTCGAGCATGTTGAAGATGTGACCAATTAAAAATATTAAAAAACAAGTTGGATACGCGTGTTTTAAATATTTTATGAAAAAAAAATTAAATGTAAGTTTTTATATTTCAATTTTTTATTTATTAAAACATAAAAATTATATTTCTTATTTCATCTCCACAGCCTCAAATTAATCACTCGCACTCAATGCCTCCTTTCCTAAACATTCTTATTTTCATTTCTCATTGGCTTGTCGTGGCTAGGGCTTCACAACGTCTGATGTCTTCTCAACATCAACATCTAACATCATCATCATAACATCAACATTTCAAAACCAGCTCAACATCAAAGTCTGACATTGTCTTGACATTAACGCTCAAAGCCAGTAATTTCTATACCCATAATTACGCCCCTGTGCCATCTCAACATCTAATCTTTGCATAACGTCATCTCAAAATCGACGCCCGTTGCCATGGGAAAGAGGGGAGGGGTCGGCTATAGAGATGGGGGAGGCTGTTAGGGTTTCGGGAGATTAGGTTAGGATGGAGTGTTGAAGAGATTTATTCAAAATCTGAAATTAATTTCAGATTTGAGTAAATTTGGATGGAGGTTAATTTGAATTTGGATTTTGAATCAAGTGTATTGAATGCATTAAAATAGCATTAAAGGGGATTCCACCCTAGTAGGGCCGGCGGCATGTGAGAGGGGGAGGAGGGGTTAGGGAGATTTAATCACTTTCCAAATGAGTTTGAAATTTGTGGGGGGAAAATAATGAGTCATCCAATCAAATTCCGTTTGAATTTTGAATTCGAAAAACTTCCTTATTTAGACTTTTGCAAATAAGGAAAGTTTTGAATTTCGAAATTTTAGGAATGTGAAGTGTGGAAGCTAGTGGGTGAAAGGATGTGAGGGATAAGGGGAAGGATATGGGGCCGGCGGCTTGGGGAAGAGCTAAGGCTGGCGGGTGAGGGAAGAAAAGATGAACAGAGATGAAGGAGGTAGACCACGAGTCACGGACTCTTCCAATGACTGGTGGGTATTGCGCTCGCCCTTACCTCGGGCTCTCTCTCTTCTCTCTAGTGCACACACAAGATGAAGAAAAAGACAAACAACAAAATTTCATTCAAAATATTCCTTTTCCTCATTACAATAGAAATGACCTATATATAGGTCTCAACATAAAAGAAGAAACAAAAACTAAATTGCCCTCAGGGCTACAACATGACTCAACTCATAATAGGGGTACAATAGGAATACTAAAAGAAAATAAAATGCATAAATATTTAAAAATATAAACTCTGAATCGTGGCCGTCGATCTGCGATTCTTCCGGCGATACACATGTTTGAACCTGTGATCGATGTCCTCATCAATCTCAACATCAAATTCTGATATTGTCTTGACATTAACACTCAAAGCCAACAATTTTTATACCCATAATTACGCCCCCGTGCCATCTCAACATCTAATCTTTGTATAACGTCATCTCAAAATCGACGCCCGTTGCCATTCCACGATATCGATGCTCAACTCTCGACACAAATTGACAAATAACATCAAAAAATGTCTAATAGAGCATTAATTTGTCATATTAAATAAGTAAACAATACTTTAAATAGAACTCAAATGCCAGGTATACAGTTTGCAGACATGTCTTCAACAAATTGATTTTGTTGTGCAAAAAAATAGTATTACTTATCTAAATTAGAGATGCTGATGATTCACTATTAAGTAGGTTCAATTCCAATTCAAGATCCACTTAAACTGATTCTTACTGATCACGTCGAGTCAGGTGTAGCAATAGGCTAAATTGGTAGGAGAGCTAGCTTGGCTCATTAACTTCAATTCAATTTTCATCTGAACTATGTTCATTTTTTCATATACGCTAATGCATATATGCATGCACATAGCCACATATTCATACACTAATGCATATATATTTCAACTTGATCTAAAACTATCTCAATTTTATCCGAGATTAGCTCAATTTAAGCTTATGTTCAATCATGGCTTAGTATTCGGCTTTTTTTTTTTTTTTTTTTTTTTTTTTGGCTTTTTTTGCTTAGTATTCGGCTTGATAATTCTGATCTGAGCAAAAATCATCCTGATTTTCCAATGTACTTCTATTTCCGGATCAAAATTGCATACTTTATTTGAATGAGTTCAGTTTTTAAGCATTAATCCAACTCAACTCAAATTAGGATATAATATTCAATCATGCAATGAAGACTCAAAGTGATAATGTACTAATCATAGGCTAATAAAAATCTTAACTAATAAAATAACTTTGCACCTAATGAATGACATTTTATAGTTAGTAATGATACCAACCAATTTTCAAGTTAGAAATATGTTCTGCAATACCCTTGAACATACAGATAACAAAAATGAAAATAACAGTAATAATACTAATAATAAACAAATGGCTTTCAAACTTCTAGATATAATATTAAATAAAGTATTATTTATCATAAGGAAAAACTTTAAATCCATGTAGAAAGTTCTCATGTTTAAAAGAAAAAGATATCAAGCTACTCTCATCCTTTGTTTTTGATCTATCTTTTCCACTGTGAATCAGTTACAAGGATTCCAATGAAGTTAATTTCCAGATTCTCATGACCGTAATTAAATTCCATCCCTCTAAGAATTAATGTTGCTTAAATGTATTTCTTTGAGAGAAAAATCATATGTTAGGCCCGCCCATGGAGAAATGTGTTTTTTTCCAAAAATAAACTTGAATTAACTAATTCTGTTTGTCTGTAACAATAAAGAGAACGGTGACTCAAAAAAAAAAAAAAAATCTTCTCCCGCATTTCTTATTTTAGGAAGAGGAGAAGCTGGCTATTGTTAAAGAAACTAATTTTCCTAAAAAATCAGAAAGGGGGTAGGAAGAATCTTTGAAATTTCTTCCATGAAAAGATAAAAGCCTTTTAAATTTTGCTTACTAGGCTCAAATGCACAAACTAGTTCATTACATATGACCAACGAAATGTAATATATCCTATAACAGAACTTATAATTATTGTAACAAAATAAAATGCCAGTGTTATTACATTTATTCTAGTCGGTCCTCCAACCAATAACGCTAAACTTGAACGGGCGTTTAAGAGAATGAAGCCGAAATTAGGCCGAAATTAGTCAATCAAAAAACAAAGAAAAACATGTGGGAGCTAATCTGACCAAAATGCAAGCAAGTTCTGCAACCTGTCAAATTTACAGATTGATATGGCATTCTACAGAACCATTCACATAAAGGTCATAAGTCTACGAAGTAGGCAGAACTTGAAGTAAGCCAAAAACTTTTCACCAAGATGACATCCTAAGGCACATTGTTTGATTCATCTGCAAACAAAACCAAATTTTATGTTTCTCAGTTACGAGACCAAAATTAAAAAATCAATTTTTAGGAAGAACTGTAATAAATTACCTTACTCACTCGTCTACTTTGTATGAATCCAATGTAACCTCCTCCAGCCACAAGCCAGGGAAGAGCTCCTGCAAAAATAAACGCAAAATTTAAAAATTGAGCAACAGACAACGAAAAATACAATGGAAATTCCCTCCTCCATTATAGAGAGAAGGAGAAAGAAAAGAACTAGAAGGAATTTCTTTGTTTGAAATCCCATATCTTCTCACATCGAGTTTTCGCTGCACAATCCGAGGCCTCTTTTGAGGCCTTCGAGAAGGTTTCGTTCCCTTGAGCACGTATAAATCCCTTTCGATTTCCTCACGCGAAAGGGATATGGAGAACTTCCGCCGCTGCACCTGATCCCCGCCCTCCAACATCTGATCGGCTTTTCCTGGATTACCCCTTCCAAACTGACAGTGAGAAGGAGAGATGCTAGGGCACCGATTTCGGCCGTTCTCCCCTGGAGAGAAGCACGCCGCACGCCTTTTCCTAAGATTCCACGGCATAGTCGCAGTCGTCGCAACCGTAGCGACGGCGGAAGCAGAAGCCTCCTTCTCACTGGATCCACCTTCCGGAGGCGAACTGTTCTGTAGCTTCCCGCCATGGTTATCCCTTCTGGTCTCCATATCCATCAGTGCAGTGCTCGAAAGCCCGGTTTCTGCGACGGAGTTAACGCAACGGAAAACCCGATGACAGCCCCAACTCCTCGTCGGAAAAGAGAAATTGTGTAGCGGGTACTTCAAAACCCTTCTCGCCGGTAAGCTCGGGACAGACTTATCACAGGAAGCGCCGGAGAGCTCTGTTCCCCTCCAGCCAGCTTCGCCCTCCTTCGAAACCATTACCGGAAGCCACTCTGTCGCTCGCCGGCAAACTTCAACGAACCGATCGCCGCCAGATATTCCGATAGCCCAACGGCGGCGTAAAGGAATCCGACTTGAGAATGGTTAATGCGTAAAGGAAGACTGAGGCGGAGACCGGGAGAAGAGAGGGAAGACGGCGGATGGGGGGACGCCTCACGTTCATGTGGGGGTTCTATTCTCCGTTGTGGGCTTTTATAGAGGAGGAAACGGTGCCTTGAGTTCTTCTTTCATGCGGTATCCCGCATTTTTAACTTCTATGGGCGGGGGGATGTTTACAAGCTCAAAAACCGATTGTAGCGCGTAGAGCGACCAGTGAGTTGGTTTGGTACGAGAAGATTTGAACAATTAATATGTCATATTTAAATTGAATATTTCATTGGTTAATTTTTTATTTTCAATTTATAAAAATATAAATATATCAATAGTAAGTTTATATTTATACTAAATTTTGAGAATATTTGTTATTATAACAGATAAAGATCAATATTAATAGGCTATACACCTCTTTTAATAAAATTTCACATTAGTTTTATTTTTATTTTTTTGTAATTAATAGAATTATATCAAATGCTTGTGACTTAGTGGTTTTATTTTTGCGGAAATAAATAAATGAAAAGAGAATTGAATCATAATAAAAAAAAATTTATGGGACTGGAATGTAATTTTGATATTTTATTTTATTTTGTTGGATAGAAAATTTGCTGTGATAATATGTTTGATATTTTAGTTTTATACAAAAATTTGAATATTGAGGCAAAAATAACTAGATTATAGAATTCATGTGACAATTGTCATTACTATCAATAGTGGTCTTTGACAGCGATCCCAAATCTCTAATTTTGAAAATGGAATCCTATTTATAGCTTTTAAAGAAGGTACTTTGATAAATATGAGCATAATCGAAAACAAACCATAGAGCTATCCTTGTTGATCACTTTGATAATATTTTTTTTTGTTTATTCAGTATTTGAGTACCTTCATGATCTCAGAATTGAATAATCTTGGGCTTGTTAGATTCATCTCATCGCGCCACTGAATTTGACTATAAGTATAAGATATGAAGATCATTTGGTTCTTCAATTAATGTCCTTAAACTTTTAAATATGCTTTAATGCTTCATTTTGGTTCATATGGATTGAAGTCAGGTCACTTGTGATGTCAATGAGTTTATCTTGTCAAGATGTTCAGGTCGACTACAAGCTTTCCAAACACTAAAAGATATATGAAGTTATATATAAATATACACAAATAACTTTTTTTTCTACTAAGTCCCTTTATAAATATAATCCATTCGACCAAAAAAATTATATATATATATATATACATGATTTGTCTCTATTTAATATTGCATAAAGTGGGGATGGGCAATGGCGGTCATGATGATGTTGATTGGTTGGCAGTATCCTTATGATGTGATTTAGCTAATTTTTATTTAAAATATTATAAAAACATCTTAGAATTATTTTGAATATTATCAAAAAATAACTTGATTTTTTTGTTTATAAGAAAACAAATTCAACTAAAAGTATAAATAAACTATTTTTTAAATAAAAAAAATGCTCTTAAACAACTTCCAAGTCTATTTAGTAGTTATTACATAACTTATCTATCAATAGTTTCTCTTGTTTTCTTGCTAGTGTTATTGGCTGCCTTGTTAGATATTTCACTTATTTTGATGGTCCTGTTGACTCTTGTTGGGTTTTTTTTTTTAAGATAGAAGTTTATCTCATAATTTTATTAAATGTGCTCAAGATTAATATTAATATAAGATGGGCTTAAAAGTGATTATTTTAAAGGCTTGGTTTGGGATAAATGTAATTTTTTTGTAAAAATAATTGCCAAATTGTTGTGAAAATTTTAGTTTTTAACATTTTTCTTTGAAAAAAAAAATTGAATATTTATTTTATGAAGTTTTTTGTAAGAAAAACAATATTATAAAAAGAGCTTCCCACCTTTTTTTTTTTTTTTTGAAAAAAATGAAAAGAAAATTCTAGCCAAATAAAAGTATAATGGTGATTTGAAAAAAAAAATTGAATAAGCTACTCCAAGCTTACCATAAGGCTTCTTTTGGGACATATTTCTTAATACTTTTTCAAGCAAATTTTTAGTGCAAAATTTTATTAAATTAAAAATTGTAGCACTATTAATCTTCTTTAGAAAGCATTAAAAAAGCTATACCAAACGAAGCTAAAATTTATGTGAGTCTAGAAAAATTAATTATAAGCTGATAAGCATTAGTTGCAATCGCAAAAATTCATGTTTATGTTGCTTCCTTCTTTAAAATTATGACTAATCTGTTAAATATTATTGATTGTTCCTGTAAAATAAGAGATATGTTAAGAGGAAAATATTATTTCAAAATAATTGAACAACTAGAAAGTGAAGGATTTACAAAAGGCTGAGGTTTAAATTAAGTCATTGTTCTTCAAAGACCATGAGACACTTGTTGTGGCTCCCATTATTATTAAATTAAAATTTTTTTTTTCTTTATCATATATTTTAACATTTTATAATGAATCTAATGATTAAAAAAAAAAATTAAAACCGCCCATGTCCCAAGCCCCCGGATGAAAAAGTTTGAGGTTTTTTTTTTACTTCGAAGATTTGTGCCACCATATAAAAAAATCCTGGCACCGCACCTGATAGCTGCAATCATGAAAATTGATGTATAAATTCTCTGTATGGGAAACTAAAGAGTATAACACTTAGGGGGTGTTTGGTATCAGATTGGATTCAATTTTAGTATGATTTACTAAATCCTGTAAATCTGAATTTAATAAATCTTATGCTCATAAATCCTTAAAGTATTTGGTATGACAACTTTTAAATCCTATTAAACCAGAGAAGTTGTTTGGCAACATATTACAGGATTTAAAACAGTTGGAGATTAGTCACGCTCGGGAAGAAAGAAAAAATTCAGCTGGATACCTGCGCGACCTAGAGAAAGATCCGGCAAGACTGCTTCGGGAGCGGCTAGTGCACAGGATGAAGAAGTAACTACGTCTTCCTCCATGTACATAAAAGGTTGAGCAGCACATCGCGACACGGGCGCACGGGAAAAACTTCCGCAGTGTAAGTTGTGTTAAATCCGAATAGAAAAGAGATTAGGATTTACAAGGATTTATCGGACTTATGGCGTAAATCCATAAATCCTGGATTTTTGGATTTGTCGGATTTGCAGCGCCCCGATATACGTTTGGCTGAATTTACCATAAATCTTACTAAAAACAAGGAGTAAATCCTATACCAAACACCCCCTTAGATTTATGTTTCTCAGCTACCCACTTTAAAATTTTTTTCTTTCATCTCTAGAAAAAACTTTTTTGCCCTGCATTTTCTAAAATATTTATTTATTTTTTATCTCTCAAAAAACATAAAAATTTATTTTATTTGATCCAATCATCCAAATGTATCAGCCCTGATCTTAATAACTAATAACCTTCAGAGACTAATAGGATGAGCATGAAAACGAGGAGGAAAAGGAACGGAAATACGTAACTCAGAAAAATGCCTAAGTCGATCACTACTGCTTCCAAAAAAGAAAAAAGAAACCTCTTCATTTTACAATGGTGCCACATCAGAGCATCGATCAATGCAATTATTTTCGGTACAAAATCAGCTATTTGGGGAGTAAACAAAAGGAAAAAAAATCTTCCAAGAACCTCCTCTGCTTCTCTTCTTCATCTTCATCTTCGTTTCCACATCATTTAGCATCTAATCGAAGAAAAAAACGGAAATCTGATTCGCATATTCCATACAATTAAGAAAGGGATAGTAAAATCACTCCACTCATATCAGGAGAAAGGGGCCCGATTTGGTTTCCCTTTTCTTGGACTCTTCTTCCCCTTCAAATTCGGCGGCCACGGAGGCTGGATGCTGTCGGAAGAGCTTTCGCCGGGTGCACCTTCATTGATGGCCGCAGGAGTGGAGCTCTGTTGAGGAATCGCCATGTCTTTCAGAGCAACTTCGCCGGCGATGGCAGCGGAGACGATCTCTGGCTTCTCATTCTTGGAATTGGGAATTTCCGGATTTGCGACTTTCTTGTTAGTGGTGAAGGTGGAATCTGTGGTGTTGGAAGGTGATTTAATAATAGAGCTCTTGAGATCGCCATTGCCTCTTGTGGCGATAACTAACTTTTTAGGCCTTCCACGTTTTCCTTTGTGGAAAGAAGAAGAAGAACAAACAGAGGAGGCGGCGGTCTTCGCTTGCATTTGTTTTCGTGGGTTTGAGGCTGCGGAGGAGGTTTTAGTGGAAGGAGTCAATGGGTTTCGGTTCTTGCGAGCCGCCATTGATTTCTTTAAATGCAGATCTGAGCTAACAGAGAGAGAGAGAGAGGAGGTTGTGCGATGAAAGGTTGGGCGCCAAAAAATCATACCGTTGAGGAACAGTAACTGTAACGGCGTTATTTATGAGTATTTATATTAAAAAACAAACTTTATTACAATCACTTTAGTATTTTTATTTTCTTTATATTTCCTTTTTTCTAATTTTTTTTTTTAAACCAAAGAGATATGAAAAGAATTTTTATTTTAGAAATTTCTTGTGATTTCTACAAGAAAAATGAGGAGGGGGGGGGGCAATGATTTCTTTATGACTCATAGTATATAGATATGATCAATTATGTATGATATTTATTTTTTCTCTAGAAATATGCCTACAAGTTTATTTCAAATTAAATTAACTCATTATATTCATGAATTGTGTATTGAAGATGTTGTGAATTAAAACGATTTGAATTTATTTGAATTTAAATATTTGTTTAAACCATTGTTTTATCCTAATTTGAACCAAGATTGAACCTTTGTTTGAACATTGTCTTCTCCATGCTCGTTGATTCCCCAGCTAGCATGGCTTCAATCCTATGATACCTTCCTCAACCAGCATTTTGGTGGTCCCTTGATTTCTTTCTTGGTCCCACCATGCCTTACCCAACAAGCTCTATTCATGAGTGTTCTTCTCACAAGATGCCGATGTCATCGAAGCTTGTCCCAACCCGCTCCCGTTGAAATTTTTCTTCTCCTTCACGTGTCATCGTCTTCTATCCCTTCCCTACTGAGCTTCTTTTCACGCCACCAGTCCCACGATGCCTTCGTTGATCCCACAATGACTTTCATCGAAGATGTCTATCGTAATCTCATACTATATCGCGGAAAAATAATATTTCTTAAATTTAAAATTTATTTTGAACAATTTTCTTACTGTTATCTAAA